ACTCTAGGGTAAAATTAAATTAAAATGAGAAATTGTTACCCAGGTTTACATTGTATTACATTACATTGTTTTGACGCCTGATTTCACAAAGCATGTGCAATTAACCTAATTCTAGATATGAGATTTATCGTGAACACTGCTAAAACTGATATTACAGTATGAAATATAGATTTATCAAATCGATGGCACGACATTTGTCGCTGCATCCATAAAATAAAATAAAGGTGCCGGAGCATTTTGTCCTTGCTCACGTAAAGAGAAAAACAGTCCTGCCTCCACAAGAGGACGCTATAGTTCCTTTTCTGCTAAACGTACCTGGCAAGAATGAATTTGCACTGCGTTTTCGAGAAGTGATACCACATTCGACGGGACAACATCTGTTTAAAAGCTAAACGTCAGTTAAATGCCTCTTTGGTAAGTAGCTACAGTATAATTTTAGAGTTGAGTACCAACTTTAGCACAATACATTATATGCTAACTGAAGGTTTGTGCAATTAAAAATATCACTTTTCAAACTGCTAGAAGAACGAAAGTTTGGAACTATGGTTATCTGGAGCAAAAACAGTATCAGAAGAAAAGAAATAAGCCTATGAAGATTATTGTAAAAAAAAAAAAAAACACTAAGTCATGCTCCTTAGAGTCTTTTAAGGTTTTGCTCACACACTGAAAACATACACTATTAAACATTCACCAAATATTCAATATTCATCCCAGAATGAAAGAAATTACGAATTTTTCTTCACCAAATGTTCTCTTTTGTTCTGCCACATTAGCTGTGGAGATTCCAGCACCAACCTCCTGATCATCCTGATGGTGTGAGGTCTGGGTTCTGATTGGACAATTCTAATGCAGAAAGGTAAGGGTTCCACTTGAGCACTTAGTTTTCAGCCCTGAGGTTCTAGAATCCAGAATGTTCCCCAGAGAACTGGCCTTTTTAAAAAAGTTTAGTTTTTTTTCCCCCAGAGGGTATGGTGTAGGGTATATATTAAAAAAAAAAAAAATAAAATATATATATATATATATATGTAT